CTGACAGTCGCTCAGTGAAACGTCGATCCATTGACCTCTGCCTGTGCGCCCCCTCGCAATCAAAGCGGCCATGACACTGTTTGAGCAGTACAGTCCTGTTGTAAGGTCTGTGACTGCAACACCAACTTTAACGGGTGGGCCGTCAGGTTCGCCAGTGATATGCATCAGACCCATCTCAGCCTCTACCATCACGTCGTAGCCTGCGCGATTACTGTATGGGCCTGTCTGGCCATATCCAGTGATACTGGCGTAGATAATACCTGGGTTGAGTTTTGAGAGGGTGGCATAGTCGAGACCATATTTGGAAAGTGTTCCGGGGAGATAGTTTTCTACAAGAACGTCGGATTTGGCAACGAGATCATGGAGAATGCGTTGGCCAGTGGAATGTTTAAAAGAAAGTGCGAGGGATTTTTTGTTGCTTGTGTGAAGGTTAGCAAAAATAAGAGGTAGTATATCGAGTGAGAAAGTGTGATTTTTCAAAAAGTGTAATTACCGGTTTGCCTACATTTAGAGAAAGAATTTGTTAATAAATGGAAATTATGTAGGTATAAAGTGAGAGAAGGGATACCACACACAGCTAAGAAGTATGCACTCTCGCCAGGCCCTTCTCCTGAGAGGGGTTTAGCATAAGGAGGGCCCCATGCCCTTGTATCGTCGCCACGGACGGGATGTTCGACCTTGATGACCTCGGCCCTGATAGGTACATGATAACCCACTTCAATTCAGCCCGATATTCCTCGTAGGAGGTAAAGGTAGAGATATGGAAGATAGACAAACCCCAGATCACCAAGAATTTGTGTACAGTACGGCTATTCCCATCAACAACGCGACAATTAGCACATATTATATACAACTGGGTGAAATCGATTGTGGAGTGCACTTACACCAGCAAGGACCCGGGTCAGGTCTAGCACGCGGATACCCGCGAGGGGGTACTTGGCTGGGTCCATGTCGGACGAATACCAGCGACGAGGGCGCAGGACTTGAACAGGCGCGCGACAGCTGCTTCGGACGTGACATGATCGAAAGGTGGCAAGAAGTGACATGGCAACTTTCAATCATAAATTAAGAGGCGTTACTCTACTACTCTTTAGTCCTTTGTTACGGACGTACCTGTACTTTTTGGCGCAACCAGTAAGGTACTTAAATAGCTAAGCTTTTTCGCCAAGGACGGAGGCTCAACGAGAGGAGCCGAGGCCCGAGAACGACTGTCGTTTGAACCCTAACCCACTCGGTCATTCATGTGGTTTAATAATACATGTATTTACCTTTTAATTCATTAATTACGTGTATTTACCATAATACCTCCACAAATTATAACATGTGTTCGTTTGGGCTACGCACATGTATGTAATTCTCGGTACAATTTAATCTGAATAGAGCGTATTTACCAAGTGTCATTTCTGACAATTGACACTTCCCCTCCACAGAGGCTAGCGGCACAAGGAAGGTACGATTGGGGTAACTCTAAAGATCTAATGATTCCTCACGCTACCTATCTGTGATATACGCTGACGAGATATGCTTTATTTTGTGTCCTTTTGACGCATTTCACAGCCTGGCAAGCAACCCCGTCCAAAATTGACACTTGCGGATGTCGCTTTGGAGAGTGGCGAAGTGTCAATTCTCAGAATTGACGGTTAGTAAATACTTTACCGCCCGAAGGGGTAAAAAATAAGCGTTATATAAGTCTTAAATCAGGCTTGAATAAGGGTTTTTTGGAATATAATACTTATCCATTTTTTAAGTCTCCAGTACTTTCTTTAGGGTCGGAACGGGTATTTGTATAAGCCTATTTAAAGGATTATATAAGCCCGATATTGGGCTTATTCGAGATTAAGACCTTATTGCGATTTAAGTTCCCTCCAACCCTATCATTTTTTAAGGCCTTAATAAGACGAAGGCTTACGATATATGATAAGGCTTAATTTGACATTATATACACGTGCACCGGCTCCCCCGGCGGCGCGCCTACATACATACCTACCTGCCTACCTACCCGCCTACCTACCTGCCTGCCCGCCTGCCTGCCCGCCTACCTGCCTACTGCCTATCGACATAATTCGCTCAATTGGGCGGATTCGGTACTGGATTTGGTGCTGGATTCGCTGCTAGATTTGGTGCTCGATTTGATACTGGATTCACTGCTAGGTGTGGTGCTCGATTTGATGCTAGATTCGGTGCTCTATTCGGTGCTGGATTTGGTGCTACTGAATTCGCTGCTGCTGCTGGATTCGCTGCTGTTGGATTCGCTGATTAGCGTATATTTCGATGATAGCTCTGATGCCGAGGGATTAGGGAGAGGAGTTGTAGATGGTATGGAGGTGGTAGAGGTGATGATGGAGATGAGGTGTAGGTACAAGCAGCGCAGACAGCTTGATATTTGCTAAGTAGATAACCCTAACCCACGAAACCTTAATTTTGCGCCCCCAGCTCCCACTAGACCTTATGAATTTCCCTAATCCTTATCTTTTTGTGAGTCTTACTACCAGGAAAAGCCTTAATAAAGTGTGATATACGCGGAATCCTGAGCAACGGTCACACTTATGCCCAAAACAGTCCAAATTTAGGCTTATTTGAGATATAAGGTTTAAATAAGACTTTCCATCTGCCTATCAGCCTTATAGAAATACCAGTTCTGACGCTAATGTAGTAAATTCAGACAAATAAGTATTATCTCTGATAAGGATTATGTCAATTTTTAAGGCTTATTTCGGATTAAGGCTTATTTGGGAATAAGCCTTATTGGATCTTAAGGCTTATTTTTTAAATAATGACATATTCCTTTTGTTAAAAAAAAACAAAAAGGCGTGGGATTGAACCCAGAGCCTTGTAGGTAGCATATACCTCATGCTACCCACTGAGCCATGGGAGAACTGAAATTCCGGTGCTGGAAGTAATATATGGCCAGTATAATGCGAATTTTTAAGGCTTATATAAACCTTACTCATCGGCAAGCCTTAAAAAAGCCTTATGTGATGAATAAGGGAGATCTAGTATAAAGGCTTAAGCTATTTAATAATAATTATCTAAGTTTAATAGTTATTCATAAAATAAGCCATATATATGCTTATTTTGCATCAACCCTTACCCAGCAAAGAGCCTTATATCAAATTAACACTAATACCACCCTTTTTCGTCAAAAAGCGCTTAATTAAGCATTATTTGACAGTAAATCGTTACTGGAGGCTTATATCTTTACATATCCGGGCGGTAATGTACGCTCTAATGACATATAATCAGAGCGGTTGTTTTACTCAAAGCAAGTACCTCAAGCCCTGACGTACACTCTTGATATCAACCCCCAGCTAAGGTGACGTCGGATTCCTAACGGCCCTATTTACCGTATATTATCTATACCTTAATACATGTAGTGATATTTTGTGGGAAGGTTATATCACAACGTAGATATATGGTCTGGAGCATTTCTGACTTGATCAGAGGTCAGCCAGCTTCCTCCGCGCGCTAGGCTGCGGAATCAATAAAATTACATATCCGCATTTCACCAGCCAGAAATCTATAGATATATACAAGCTTTAAGCAGCATTTCTGACGGATTTTGAGGCGCTTACTAGGACGAGAGTACTATATTTATTATTCAGGTCAGACTGTACTTAAAATTCGTTGGAAGTGAAGTCGGGTTGGAGTCTGAATACATTTGAGCTAGCGCTCCTCCTACTACTTCTACCAACGCTAAATACATGTATATAGGTACAATAAAAAGTCCAGATCTTACTAAACCTCGGAGAGGTAATGCTCAGTCCCTCCGTCAGGGTTAGACGGGAACGAGCCTATGAAGGTTAAGGAACAACGCAGTATACGAAGTACTTAATAAGTACAAGCCGGTCTCAAGCGTCATAATTTACCCCGTATGACAATTCCCTCCATACATTGTGTGACATACATGCGCTAAACCACATACAAAAAAGACTCCCCAAACTCATATTCCACTAGATAAAGAAAGATTGCAACAACTATAGCCCTGTCAACTTCTTCTAGTATACTTGTGCCTATATGTGTATTACCCTGTTATCATGCCATTATACCCACTAAAACTCGGTTTTGAGTTTCCCGACACCTGGTAATATCACCCTACGAACTTATCATCCGCGTGAATATTATCAGCCTCCAATCCTTCCGCTAGATTGAGCGATTGCCTGCCAAAATTGAAACTCATATATCATAAAATCTTACCTCAGTTATAGTAGGGAAAACAATAAAAGTTCCCATGAGAGCAAATGCAAGAAACAGGGGAACTGAGGCATTCTGAAGGTCTCCGGGATGCTTCCTCAACCAATATATAAAGAAAGCGATTGGTCCGGCTTGAATAATAAGAAATAGTATCAAGATCCGAAAGAAAGACAGTGCTTCACAAGCACGTAGTCCCCATCCGTATTTCTCCTGCAGGCTCATCTTGCCATTTACTTTCTTCGGCAAGACATCGATTGTCATCGAAGTAGTTCCAATACATGATGGGTTTTCAAAATAGTGCATCAACTCCTCGGGGGGAACGGGTGGCACATCGACTGACTCAGGCCGGTACTCATAATATGGATGGTTGGGTGTTGGAATCTCTTCTTTTTTATAACAGCTGACACGCATATGATCGAGACGATAAAGTCTGAACTACATAATAAATCAGTCAAACAAGGCGCCCTATAATATCAGGCCTCCGTGTATCATCCATACCTTAACGAATTTTATATATGAAATGGTGTAAAGACTAAACCATCTCCTCCAGCTGCGGACTTTTAAGTATTCGGTTCTAAGACCCCGGAATATTGCTTCGTCATTGTCACTCGGCGTAATATCGAGCTCTCTAACAACCGTAACCTTTGAGCCCAAGTTTATACACCACATGAGAAGCTTATTCCGACTCCTTATCCCGACTCCTTGTCTAGTTGTTAATGAGCAGGTCGCTCCAGGACAGACTGCTATCGATGATGATGTGGGATTCCCTAAGGCCTCGTTGGTCACTGCATTGGGGTTGACTGGGTTAGCTATAGGTTGTGCTGGAGCTGGAGCTTTTGATGCCGGTGATGACCTATTGTTGGAAGATGAGGAAGCGCCGCTATGAGTTCTAAGCCACTGATACATATGATATTGATGCATGCGTTCTTTTCGGATGATACTGGATATCCTTCTGCCACAACGCTGTAATTAAACCATTTAGCTATGTTAACTGAGAATCGAAACGATATCTACTTACGCATTTCCATCTCACATACACATACCCATGTGGTACCGAGTGTCTTCGATGGCTCAGTGGCCACCAATTTATCGGTTCTCGAATAAACTCCTCTACCCAACCTTTAATCTCATTAGACAAATTCCACCGGCGGGCGATTTCAAAGCTGATATGCGTTTTCCCATCCGAAAATCTTGTCGCCCATAGATGTTCATCATTCCCCATTGGCACAGGTGATGCGACAAGGTCCTGTGAAAACTCCGATTCTTCAGTGAGCTGAGGAGATAGACATCTCAGACTGGAACTTTTCGGTGCTGGATTTTGAATCCTAATAGCTGTTTCTGTAGACGCCGTCGCTTTTCCTTCAATGACATCACCGGATTCTATCAGACTATTCTCGATAACCAATTTCTGCACTTCCTCGTCCATTAAAGACATAGTAAATGAATGTATGTTCTCGCTTTGAACACCGATTTCTTTACCAAGTTGGTGTATCGATGCACCTGGAGAAACCTGGTCATCAAAATCATCTCCTTCATTTATATATTCTGGAGTTTGTTGTTTATGTTCGGATTCTGTATTCCCCAAGATTCCGGTTGCTCCTCCTTCCTGGTGTACGTTTCTTCCTTTAATCCCCTTATTCATTTTAGTCCCTGAGCATATTTTTCAGAACCTGAAGTTTGTTAACTTACATGCTTATCTTTGCGTCGAGTCGGTAGGAACCTTTTAATCACTGCGTTTTTGAATATTTCGAGTATCTCATCGGATTTCAAATAATCAAGTATTCCTTGAACCGGCTCATCATATCCTGTTACATCTGAGATGTCTTCCTCATCATCATCGCTAGATTCCCAGGATTCATCAGAGTCGTCGTGATCTGGGGACCTTCCGATATGCATGGGCCCATCAAATTCATCAAATTCATTTTGAAAAGCAGTCCCTTCTGACGACTGAAAGTAATCATCAATAATCTCCCCTTGTGTAAAGCTCTCTAACTTGTTTACTAATCTGGATCGTAAAGCCGTGTCATCAACTACAGAGGCATCAGGACACTCCAAAGACTCCTTAATCTTTAGAGCAATATTTTTCAATGTAACTCGACTCCCTATACCCCGTAGAACTGATAGTTGTTGCTGAGATAATAATTGTTTCGTAGATGGTGACTTCTTAATGTTCTTTGAAAACTCTCTCAGAGACCCAGCTAGTCGCCGATTGAATTTAGTCTGACTCAACCCTTTAAATGCCTCTTTTATAATCGTGGATACCTCAGTCATACCAGACAAAGCCCTAGCAATGTCATTTTCTACTCGTTCCAGGTTTTGCGGCGGGAGAAGAGATGGTGCTGACGTATTGGAGGATGCCCCTATGGAGGAGCTGGAATCTGTAATATAAGTATAATTGGAGTCGGTATCTGAACCGGAAATTGATTTATTTAAGGTCTTCTGGTTTACCTGCGGTTGCTCTTGACTAATGGGTTTTGAATCACTAAGGCTTGCCGAAGTGTTGACATGGTCTGCAAGCGTCTCCAAAACTTCATCCAAGACCTGGCGCGTCTTTAAGGACTCTTTGAACGCGAGCTTTTCCTGCTCTTGATATTTAGGGATGGTATTCATCATGGCCAAGTCTTCATCGATATCAGAGTGGTATTGGTGCGATGCTTCTTCTAACAACGGCTGCGCCAGCAAAGCTTGAAGTTTTCTGCTGACCTGATGATGATACTCCGCTAAGTACCTACGGCGCTCTGAGCCCTGTTCGGGGGTGGTATAGTACTCCGGCCCCTTGAAAAGTCCATATTCAGTGGGCGTTTTGTATACCTCTGAGTCTTTGCCGAGCTTTCCCTGTTCTTCAAAGGTGGTATGGTGCTCTGGTTTAATAAAGGTCTTCTCGTATAGGTCGAACGTCGCTTTTGGGACGATCTCTTGGGATTGATTGGCCTGTCCTTGATTTCTAACGATGATACGATAGTCATTACAATTTTCACGAGTGTAGTACCATTTTTGTGGAATCAACGAAGGTTCTTCCTCCAGATCCGGTATGATTCGCTGCATTTTGGCGGTCTAAGCTAATCCAGTAAGAAGTGAGTAAGATGCCCAATAACAGAATCAAAATTGGCTGGAAACGACATACTAATGAACAAAATTGGCCTCACAAGCCTAATCTCAACAGAGAATGATGGGTGCTTTGTCGGGGCTCGAAGTCATAAGCGACTGTGGGGTTTCCGACGGGTGACAGTACAACTTTTCGTCATGGGGTATGGGGTATGGGGTTAGGGTTACGGCTGCCTGGCGTCTGAATTATTGATATCATGAAAAAGGGACCGCACAACTGAACAACAACGTTGATCATGAGTGCGTAGAAAGTTGCTATAAAGGTTGTCAGATACGAGAAATCCAGATCTGGCCTCCAATTTTAACTGAAACTAATATTCATCGCTAAATTTAATATTTTATATATAAAACGACTAATAAAATTAAGGCTATATCCAGTATCGTAGGTGAGTACAAAGATCAACTACAATAAACACTTTTAGAATTTTTAAAGGTGTATTCGGCGATTGGGAGTCCAAATCTGGTGTCAGATCTTAGCGATTAGGCTGTGCAGGGAATTTTAGACACAAAAAACTGATAATGTTTATACAATTTGAGTATGGTATACTCTATACAGAGATTATAAAGATTGAGCTAATAATTTTGAAGGTTCTCAATGGCGCAATCACTGACTTCCCTATAGCTTCTGTAGAGCATATGCGCGTTGCTCTGCCAGGTACTTCCATTTATATATCCATTTTCTATCTTTCTGCTGCGGTTCCAGATGATGCAGCTCAGCGTACCCAATTTTCCTAGGTATTGTTGACCACAAATTAAAGCTATTAGGCTATATTTGCAGTAGGACCGGGTGAAGTACTTTAGAGTAGGTTACCCAGAAGCATTCTACCCAATTAAGTTCAGGGTGGAATTCAGGCCAAAAATGAAGAGATGCCGTTGAGATTCAACAGCTAGCTTCCTGTAGCCGGTTCTTTTGTTCTCTAAAATCAGGCTGAGAAGAGAGTAGTGTATCTAAACTATATAGTCTTCCTCATCGTCACCAGGAACGTTTTCTATTGGTTGCGTACTATTTCTAATATTGGTTGCGTATCATTAGACAAAGAACTACTCCCGAGATGGAAGGGAACTAGCTGACATTATATTAAAAGGCGTGTAGCTATTGCAATTGATAGATATAAAAGAACAAACACTGACAGAACTACAGCTATATTTTTATATATCAAAGTCGAATTTCCCTGATAGCATTTTATCATGAACTACATGTACATACTAAAGCTACTCATTGAATGACTTAGAGTGCATGCTAGAGCTAATTTATCACAGATTACCTATAAGGAGAGATGGAGATGAGGTTTAGTGCGTGCCTGTACGTTTGGGTGACCCAATAATCCAGAATGACAGCAATAATCTAAGAAATTACTATCGCAGCGCAGTACCGCCCGCACCTAGGTTCATTTCCTCACTACATTTGGGCGGCCGGAGGCCGCACTCCGCTTGTATCTATATACAGCAGCTTCCAGGCATATATAACAGCATCACAATCAGCAGCCCGTCTGTATTTATATCTCAAGCTGCACTACGCTTATGGTATATAAACATCAGCGTAAACCAGCTAATCGAAGACCTTCGGAGATCAATTACATGTATCAACCATGATATCGAACTCGGCACGACATCCCTAAAGTACTCCGACCCTATCTTACGGGCCCGGGGGCAGTCGTATGCCCTGAACGAAGGCCCTGGATTGGTTCTAGTAAGTGCTTCCTAGCTTGTAGTCGGGATTTCGCATTGCTGGCGAGATACTCGCTCGTAAGGGGGGGCAGCTACGCAGTCTCATATTAGTGATCCGATTAGAGTCTTTTAGCTGCAAGAGTTGGACAGAAAGTCGGGCACTTCGACAAAAAGTCCTACACATCCTGTTGGTTGAACGACTGCAAGTCTCTTCCGAAAACAGCTAGACTTTCTGTCCAACCTGCTCGACTTTCTATTCAACTCGCGCAGCTAAAAGACTCTATTATGATATTTGGAATATTGATATTATTTTGGGTTAGGGTTGTTGGTCCAGATTGAGTAGCCAATCAGAGAGCAATACAAGCTCTTATCTCCATAACACTAATTCACCTCGTTCGGCGCAATAGAGTACCTACAGGATGACTGTCCACACGTCTTCAAACAGTTGTCTTCCCTAGAAATAGAAATCAACATTACTACATGTAAGTCTCAATGAATTAAATCCAAAGACCAGAAGGGATTCAGGACGCGTATAATGAAGCTTGAGATATGGAATGCTGGAGAGGATTCTAATAGCTCGGCTTTGAGAATCGCGCATCACTGCACTGACCTATTACTTTCTTGAGGGCATGTATGACATGGCACCTGAATGGTATATACTAGTTTCGTACTAATCCCCTACTTAGCATGCAGCAAGCTGCCCACCAGTAGTTAGGGTTAGTGATTAAGTTTATTTATTTACATACAACACATGCTAAGGGGAAGCCTATAAATACACGCTGAATCCCCTCAACAAACGGAGAGGAAGGGAACAGATGGCGACCCAAACGAGTGAAGACAGCTATTGGAATGACAGCAAAGAGAGAACTAAATAAGTAAGAGATAGTAAGGGTAGTACCGGAACCAGAGGCCCTACAAGGAGGCAATATCTGCTTTCATGTGAAGGTGGCCGATTTTTCAGAACACAGAACACCTGCCAGCAAAATGAGTTTTAGTCTAATTTATTAAATCCACCTAATATGGAAGTATTTGCGGACGATAACAATTCACTCGCTTTCTTTTTTGTGAGAACCAACAGTTCTTGCTGTCCTTAAGCTTTGGTGAACAATGGCAGTTCACATTGTGGACATTTATGGGTACTCAATATTAATGGTACCGGAGTCCAAATCCTTTTCCGAGTGGTATCCAAGTCATTTTTCACCAAAAACCATGGTGCCGTTTAAAAGTAAAATGGGATTCCGTCTTTTGTGAACTGAGATTAAGCCCTATAATACCATCAATAAAAAAGGGTGTCAGCTTCATGCTACAGTGCTCGCTGAGAAAAATTGTACGTACATATTATGTGGTAAACAGCGGGATGATAAACCTGGCCGGCCGGCCCATACCTTCTAGAACACCGATAAACAATCATTTCCTAGGAACGGATTACTTCACTACCTTCCTTTCCAGAAAAGAAATCCAATAACATTGTTATATCCACAGTCCATTAACGAATAATTAAGAGCCGCCAGCTAGAGCTAGGAACATAAGGACGGTTTTCGCCATACCCAAAAGCTAAAGACAAACGCCGGTTCTAACAGTTGAAAAGGGGAAACAATAAAAATTACACTCCAAAGGTTTCCCCCTTCTTTGCATGTTTTCCTCATCCAGTTCCATCACTACCATCACTACCATCAGTCATCTCCGTCCCACTGCCCACCCTTGTACCCGGCTCCTGATAAATAATAAAGACATTATCTCTTCCCATCGCTCATGATGGGAAGGGTGATACTCATATTAACCCAAAGGAAAGCGAATAAAAAATAAAAAATAGCCCAAAAGGTTATAGAAAATAGATACCAAGACCCCAAAATAAACAGTTTTTATCGCTGTTTCGGTCAGATTTCCAATATTCCGTTCCACATATCTATCCTAACACCTGTCAAATCTCCATCACCAACGTTGATGGACTCTACGGAGCTAGAGTAATCGTCCAAAACAGCATCAAGCATGGCTGTTGTTTCATCCATCTTAGCTGCTGATGCCGTCATGTCTTTCAGGCTAATTGTTCACAACCTATTAGTAGTGAACTTCTTATTAGGAGGTGGATCATACTCAGTTAATGTAAGTTCACCCTTGAAAAACACAAATAGCTCTGCCCGTTCTACTCCAACCATATGAATACAAAGCTGTCTGAACCTTTTACTCGAACATATCAAGTTTCTGATGTACTGCCGATTGTCGGTATCTAATATTCTTTTACATATGGGAATCTAATAAAAAGACAAGTAAATCAGCCCTGAAACCTCAGAAAGATCGTCTCGTCCCATCACATCCCACCCATAGTGTGTCACAGAAGGAAGTCAATTTACCCACCAGCTTATCATACCCTCTCTGTAACCTCCCCTGGTCGTTCGCACCCTCCCCCCGTCGCTTCTCATCATCGCAGAACGAGTTAAGTATTTCGGCCATTTTATAAAAGAACCATACTTGTGCAAGCCTCCTTGTCGCCTCATCTCCCTCCGTCGATGAGATACTAAGCCAATTCATATATCCATCAATGTTCATCTGCCGGCGAAGTACCAGGCCTAAGGAGTTGTCGCCGCCTTTATTCATATCGCGCAGGTTCGGATGCAGTGCGCGAATAATAAAATAACGCAACTTCTCAATGGCAATCTGAAGCGTAGCATCATTGGGCTGCGGGACCGTGTGATCCTTCAGTGAAAGCATTTTAGCGTCTAGACGTTTCCGAGCTGTAGTACTCCAAGTCGAAGGAGTTGTAGATGGTGTCGGAGGCTGTTCGTTCATGTGTTGATTAGGGTTAAGGTTGATAATTCCATTGTTGCCGTTATTGGGGTTGTTGTTGCCATTCCGAAGTGGTGTTGAAACAGCAGTCTTCGGCTTGCGTTTAGGCTTTGGATGGATTATAGGTGGACCAGGGACCGCGAGTGGAGCCGGTATGGGGAACGGCGGCATGATTGGAGGATCATTGTTTTCCGTAGCTGGTGTAGGGGGTGCGTTTTGGCATGTCTATGGAGAGTGGCAAACACAGTGTTGTTAGCAAACCCGCTCGCGATCACTGTGTTTTCCTCCGTCCAGCCCCCCACCGAGTCCCCTGAATTAACAAGCAAACAAACGAAACTTCACAAGCAATTCATTCTCTATAAGATATGTGTAATGGGGAAAAAACACTTACTTGAATAACACTCACACCAACACCGATACCACTCGACTGAGGTGGTGGAACTGGACCGTGCATAGGGAGCTGCTGTTGCTGCATTGGTCCGGCCCATAGTTTAGCAGCATGTCTTTTCCAGTGCTCGATGACGCGAGTAAAGTCGTCGGGACTCAACGACTGGACTTGGTCGATACTGGCCAGAACGCCATCGACAGAGGAGGCCATTTAGGGGGGGGAAGAAGACAACGGTGAGAGGGGCAAGCTAGAGGGAGAGGGGAGATCCAGAGCAGACTAGCGAAACGTGGGACCTCCTCCAAAGTAAAGTAGGGTAGCGTGGATGCTAAAAAGTATAGCTGTTGCAAGATATCGAAACCAGCAAAAGTGAATAACAAATCAGACCACACTAACCCCCCTCTCCTGGAGAGATATGAGTCTTCTTGTTATTCTTCTTTCTTCGTGAATAGGAATAGGAACTGGGGGTGTGGGGAGGGAGGGAGAGAGAGAGAACGGGAAATAAAAATAAAAAATAAAAAGGGCCGGCAGGAAATGTGATGAACGAGTTTGGACGTGGAATTAAGCTTCAGAGCCGCAACGAAGCTACTCGAAGTAGGCACCAAGCTAGGAAGTCAGAGTCCTAGGAAGTCCAGGTAAGGCAAGTAAGCAAGAGTAGGTCCACCTCCAAATTACCTCCTCCCTAAGTTCCCAACTCTCGTCGTCAAAGTCCACTCCAGCCAGCGAGCAAGCAGCTAATAATCGGGAAGAGCCGACCCTCCCGTTTCCGTCCGTTCCCGCGCTGTCGGGTTTCGCGCTAATCAAGGGGCTACGAAAGAAAGGCGCGTAGAGTTCTTATTCTTAGTAGAAAGTGCTTAGAAGTCCTCCTCGTCTCTCTCCCTCTCTCTTTGATCAAGCTTAAGTCGTAATATCGCTGGGGCGATGTGTTAATGATAGAAACGAAGTGGAGAAAAGTCAAATACTGCAGGTTTAGTAGAGCACATCTAGTTGGTGAATGAACTCACACCATACTTGCTCAAGTTGCTTGTGTTTAGCAAACCCCTTCACCTAAATACTATGCACATGTAGAGAGGTACATGTTCTCCTTTCCTCCAAGCAAAACAAGTTCTGAGGTGTGTGTAACGAAACTTGTTTCATGTTTACACAAACCCTGCCTCAGCTGGACGCGACAACGGTTCCGCGTCGACTCCGTAACCCGGACGTCTTAGGCAGCTTATGCAAAAGTAATAGTCCTCAACAAGGCAACATCCAGGTGCTCATCTGGACCGCAACGCTCAAGCTCTCTATTGGACATCACCATCCAGTAATATTATGGCAAGCAATGAGTTTCCTCTTGTGGACATGTCATCAGTTGCGACGCACGATTCCGAAATTTGTTTGCGATTTCGCGCACTTCTCCTGATGGTCAAAATTTTAATCTCTAGACGGATAGATCATTGGAACTGGCTGAGAAGATAAGCTACATGTTTTAATTTATATTGAGATCGAACTAATATTTGCAAAACCATTGGCAGAGTGAAATAAAATGAATGGAATCGAATCCTTCTACCTCATGCTCTAAGGCAAAGGAAATGCCAACTGGAGGCACCAAATAGGCCTAGGTGGATGAAAGCTACAACCAACACGTCAGATCTCAATTGCAATCTTCATTGTAAGTTTGTGTAACCCGAAATAATGAGAACCATGAAGAAACCCCTACATAACAGATCTAGAGCCTAACTCTAGAGTAGAATGTATTGCATGCCTCCCTTCCCGGCGGTTATTTACCTGATTTACAAATCCCCACAATCTTATGCTTGGATACATTGCCTTAACCCTCACACATGACGTCAATTGGTTCGCCAATGATCAACCTCTTCCAAGCGCTATTTCTGGAACACAACTAGAGCCGTGACATATAACGTCTGCATACTCGACCCCTAGCTTTAACAGCCCCGAATTAAGAATCACATGCATTGTTCTCAGTTCAACCATAATAAACAAAGCCTTCTTATCTCATTGGCTATCTTACCAAAGACTCGGTCTCCTATTTAAGGTTGCACTTGCGGGAATCCAAGCCGCCCCAGAGCCATCGGAGATGATGCCCGGGGAAGGATCAGAACCAAGATTTCCAAATCTAGAGTGGCTGGTCAGGCAGGGGAAAGAAAAGGAGAAAGAAGTCCAATAACCTTCTAGAAGTTCAAACCCACCTTCCACAAACTCACTAGTAATCAGGCACATATCTTCATGTAGCCATAGGCGGTCCTATTAGGGTTTAGGACCTGCAGATCTACCAAGCATGTAAGTAAGCTCACAGGGATTGGTCGCCTAGCTCTTCCTACCGAACAGGCTGTCTCGGAACTTGAAAGTCGACTTCTTAGAAGCTTAAGCTTAAGGGGTACGTCTTTGTCTACCTTCGAGCTGCACTCCCTTATATCTGTACGTTTCCGTAAGTTAGGATCTAGGAAGGCCCTTAAAGAATATATCGACATTGGAGTGTAATATATAGATACATGGACTTTGAGAAAGATTCTCTTCATCTGTGCGTAAGTAAAGCTAGGGTCATCCTACAAGGCTGAATGTATGTATGCTGGACGTGACCGATCCCGAGTGATTTTCCATGATCGGTGTCTAAACTCTGAAAGAGAAACCTAACCCTACGTTTGCGGACACCGAGTAGGAACAGAACTACGGAACGCAAGTTGACTTAATTAGGTTTGTATAAATTGTCCCATGGCCAGTAGGAAGCCCTTTTGCGAGAGGTGATACCTGCATGAACATACAAGCCTGCGCCAGTGTAGCAAACGTAGCTGATATACCGCAATTATCGATCGCCATTAATTTCTCTTACAATTGGCAATAAGCAATAAGCTATATATAGTACGAGAGAACAGAGTGATAACACTGCCATAGTACTACGGGATCTAGTGAAGGATCTGAAATTACACTGACATTTTAAGAAGAATACTGTACCAATAGTGTATTATTGCTGTGTTACTAGTAGCGCATTATATTAACATGAATACAGCACATAGGGATTAATCCACACCCTCTTTTGTTACCGTAGTTTCTACAATATCAAGAAATCGATTTGGAAACCTAGGAATCCACTGACCAGATCAAGCATTGTTAAGAAAAACGGCGGTTAGGTAATTTCCTTATTGGCTCCATACCGCTCTAATATTTTACTTACTATCCTAAATTCCATACCTTAATTTATAACAGGTGCTAGTAGTATTTCAATACGTTGAATCCCAGTGGTTCTACTGACCCATTGGAACCCACGGTTTGTGGCGCTTACATGTGCCTTCAGAACCCAGTTTGGTAACATTTGGTACTGGGATATGATACTAGTAATTGACCCATACCAAGCTTAAGTCTTTGAAACTTTGTAATTCTGGTGCGACACTACATCTACATGTAGTTTCACAAAATATGAGTGATTACACGTACATCAATATTATGTATAATCGAATCAAAACGGTCCATTTATCTGATGAATAGAGAGTTGGAGTATATATATCGTCTCGACGCGGTGCCTTGATATACCTGGAGAAAGCTGTGACAAAAGCCTGGGGATAGCACATATAGGTAGAGTATGAACTACATGTAGTATATGAACTACATGTAGTATATGAACTACATGTAGTATATGATGTACATATGTCTAAATTAACGCACATATATATCATACTCCAGAGTATATAATGAATGCCTGTAACATGGAATCTCACTCGTCTGCGCTTGTCGCTAATTAGGAGTGATCATGATGAAAGGAATATATCATGATTACACACCAATAAATTGTCAGAGTATGATCTGCAGTGTCACCTTGGCTATTCTTTCCAGGTTCCGGAAAGTGAGCATGAGGTGAGCTATCACATCGTACCTGCGGGCGGGTATGCGAGTGTTCTTATCGGGTGCATGCGAGAGAAGTTGAAGCAATTGAAACTCGAGAAAAAGAAAACGATTGATCCGTGGTGGAGATTACTTTGAACAAATTTATCGAAAGGTTCCTGTCAGAATACCTATCTTTTTGTAGGTGATGCAGGTGATAGCCCTGAGTTATGGTATGCATGTACCTCTAACCACTTGGGTACATCTACTATCCCGAAATGTTGGAGGTGTATGACCGCATTTGCACGTGACCGATCTACCGGGACTCGCGTGCCTTCTCCTTCTCCTTTCCCTTCCATTCGTTTTCTTTCCTCCGGGGCTGCAGATTCTGATAGAGTATTAGTACCAGTGACCACCCATTCGGTGCCCCTTCTCTCTCTCACCCCCAGAATACTCGCTTCATTTCCCCTAGAGCTTTCACATATCGCCAGTCGTTCCCCATCCGCCCGCCTGCCTGCCTTACCTGCCTGCCTTCTGTAACCTTGCTTTCGTGTGGCTGCCGTTGTCAAGCCTTACCTTTTGCTCTGCTTCTTGCTTATCTATCCAAGACCCAGGGCCATCTCGATTGAAGCGTCTACACATAAGCCAGCTCACTCTTTCTTTAGAGCTCAACCCCAGTGACAACGCCAACTCAGCCTCTTTCACACCCACCACCCCGTCACCGAACTTAAACCTCGACATCCCTCCCAAGCCATACACTGAAACGCATTTAACGGAAACCTCCCCTCCTCTTCCGATCTTTGCACTTGCTAGCTTTCTCCACAAAAACCTCGTCAAATCCACCTCCCACATCCCACACACCCCACAAAATACATAGTTCCTGGACCGCAATCTCCCCCACAATTCCAACAACTAGAAGATAATGTCTTCAACATCGCCACCTTCTTCACCTACTCCTGTTCCCACTGTTGTGACTGTCGCACCTCCAACTATCCATCTCGACTCTCCTCAAAGCTCTCCTAAGATGGCAACAATGGCTTCGCCACCTTCCTCACCTGGCCCGCAACCCTCTCCAGTGTTCGCTCCCCGCCCTATGCGCATTCCCCAGCTCTTTCGCCCACGCCCACTAGTGGCGCTTGAAAGCTCTTCTGGAAATCAAATGCGCACTCCGAGCCCGAAACAGCAACGCAGAAGCTCTAGTGCAGCCGGAGGGATGAAGTCGCTGGTATTGACGGACTCGAGACTTGCAGGGGGAGAAACCAGTGAGATACAAGTGAGGGTCGACGACGGAGAGGGAAGCAATAATGGTGCGGCGGGGGACCTTCAACCGGTACAGTTGTATAGGTTCGTCTCCCATTTGAAAGCAGTTCGTTTAGAGGGGTATTAACATATGAGTCATAGTCCTTCAAAAGATGTCCTCGATGAACTATACAAGATTATTCGTAACAATAAGCCGCAACCAAGAGCTTTTGACCACCATAGAAGACAGTTGAGTGATGCATCCAGTAGCAAAGATAGTGGACGAGATGAGAACACCAGAAGTCCCCTTAGTCACGAGTTTGGGAGAATTCCATTTCGTATGTCGCCTCTCCCTCGATGATTTCTTCGGCCTATTGGTTCTGACTTTTGAAATAGCTTCATCGCCCGTCAGCAGGACCTTGATGCGGAATCCTATCATCTATAACTCGCAGTTCGGGCAAGAGCAACATTAATTTTGCTGATGCTTCTATTGAAGTCAATTTTTATAACTTCATTTATACTCCCCCAAGTTCTAGTACGTTCATGTTCATTTATTAAAGTGTGCTGTTTTTTTTCGTCTCGCACTACTACTTAACTCTCTTTAACAGCCCCTGTTTTTATTGTTTTATATCTGGGAACGGAGTAGCTACAGGCAGGTGCTGGGTCTTTATCATTTATGGATGTTTGTCTTTTGTGGTCGAAGAAGTGGTCATCTAATCGATGTTCATGCTTCGTCCTCTTCGCTCGGGCTTGCTTTTTTCTGTTTGGAGTTAGGATTATGGTGTAATCAACTGCATCACCTCTCTCAGGTCTTTTGTTCCTTTTCCCTAGTCCTCTGTGGTCCTTCCAGTTGCCGGTACCTTTCGAGGTGACCGTTTTGAGAGCATTTTTGTTCTGCCACAGTTGTTTTGTAATATTGCTCTGTTGCGACTTCATGTTTTTCTTCTCCGATATCGCTTTTGATCAAATCTAGATCCTCCGATGTCCGATACTAGACTTGTTTTTGAACCTTTTCGCCCCGGGTTTGGTTCCCCCTTTGTATGCGTTTTTCATGTCAAATTGAAACGGCGAATTTTTGATTTTTCACACGGCCTCACCCACTTTATTTATCTTTGGAGCAGGGTTTTGTCTGTTACGATTTAATATAGGATGCAGTATATATATGGGACATGTTATGACCGGAAGCATATTTTTTCCCGTGGTGGGTGCTATCAATTACATAGTTATGATGTGATGTAAGGACGAGTGACTCTTTATGACCACCCGTGATTGATAATTCATTAATTATATGACCACCCGTGAGGTTTCACATGCATTTGTAGGACCGCTATCACGGGCCCGTCATTCAGGAGTCACGGTTATGTAACTACATGTAATAAATCATTTTTTCTTTACTTTCTACCGCGTGGGACCCTCCTTCCGGCGGTGGTGTGAGTATTAGCTTCATGATATATCACTCGATATTTGTCAACGAGAGTATATCTACCTGGCCAATATTGCTCCCTGGTATCTATAAGATGGAAGTCATACCCTTGTCAATGGTTTATGTTACTAAATTGTGTGGTCGCAGTAACATGTATCCCTTTAGATGCCGGCCACCATACATGGGCACATACATAGCTTCAAATCGGCTATCGCCGGAGGGTTCTGATAGAATACTCAACCAGTTTTAAATTGGTAGTTTCCGCTAGCTGTTGACATCTATATATCATGATTTCGGCCTAACCCCAGGACGAAAAAGAAGCCGGTGACAAAAAAAAGAATTGATATTGCCCCGATTGGGATTCGAACCCAAGATCTCCTCACAGCTCTAAACCTACGTGCTGAGTTTCTGGTATGTTAACCACTACACTACCAGGGCATGTCTATTTCTATGGTAGACTTAAATTTGAGCTCATCTCCTCGAGCCCCCTTGGTAGGGCAGGGTAGGGCATTGTGTATACGCAAAGGTACAGTCCGCCGCACTATTCTATATCCTTTTCTTGTATTATACATAACACCTAGTCTCGTTCCCAGACTGTTTTGTTGTCGCACTGCGTGCAGACACATCAAGCAAACACAGGCTGGGCACGAGACTACATAACACCTTCTTGTGGTTAAGTATTGCAGCTTCCAGCGGCCAATGGTGTAATAGGCTAACGTGCTATTGAAGATGGAACTATTAGAAAGTAAATCACGCTAGCCGGGCGTGATTAGTCCGCGTCGACCGGCCACAGAACATGATCTTACTACTACCAGGCTAGCTTCCCAAACCTCATGCTATACCAAATCGACGCTATGCGCTATCTCATTAGATACTTCCTATAAGGTTTTATGTCCACTTGTAATTGTCTATCACAAGGACAACCCAACCATAACAATTAACAAAGAGAGCCACCAGGAATCGAATTATGCATCCAGGTCTTCCATATGCTCAGCCGCTTCAATCCCGATCTCACAGAGATCGTTTTGCATATACGTACGTCTAAGCCCATGGATTGTACACGTCTGCTAGGTGCCTTCGAATGTTTGCTAACTCCGTAGCACCACCAGTGGATCTCGGCCTGAGGCATGATGAAGTGAAGGCCTGGTATTGTATATGTCTCTCATAGATGTCGTCTGATGATCTGCCAGTAAGTATCATAACTCCGACCCAATTCATGACGGTTAAGTACTCGATCATCTGAGATGCCTATGTATGCAGCTCAGACCATCGGACGTGATAGAGACATCATTACCGAACCAGGGCAGATGGTTGAGCATGAGTATCGGTTTCTCGGGTTTAGAAAGGCCCGCTACACTTCACCACACGTAGCCTTTTAGTTGTCCTAGTTATACCTAGGCCTAGGGGTTTAGAATCACCATCTTTGGTGTCTACCGGCTGATAAAGGGTATGTTTACTCCGGGTAGGACTGGCCTCTCGGTATCGAATTCTAGATTTGGTGTAAAGTCTGAAGCCGGCCTATTGATCCGGGCTCTCGGGTGAACACGGCGTGATTCTGAAAACTTGTGTAGGTACTCGTTTCTTCGAATCCGTTAGTTTTGGACTGGGTGTTGTTGTCATAGGGCGTTCCTCCGGACTGTCGAGACTATACCGGGGGGGGGGGGGGGGGGGGAGAGAGAGGTGGAGAGAGAGGTGGAGGGGAGAGTGTAGGTGGTTAGGTGCTAAATGTTGTCAAAATACTAATATATTGTAGATACTTGAACTGGTATCAACAGGAGGCAAGATGGTCAAATGTCCTTTGATCATTTTCTTCGGGAGTCTAAAGGATTTAGATTAGTCGTGCAGCTTTAGTATCAGGAAGGAAAGCACGGAATCACTGATATAATCGATCTTGCCACGTCAAGTTTGAACGTACGTCCAGAAGCCCGTACTTGATATGAACATTCCTCGAGCTCCTAACAAAATAGACACAGATACACAGACCTACACCTACACCTCCATTTCCAATTGCCCGCTGCAAAGCCCGCTTCTACTATATAGCCTTATACAATTAATTGTACATGTACAAGGATGGCCGCATCTGTCGAATTAAATAGAGCTTACGAATCCTTTCGGGATCAGAAGCTGCAGCAATATTACTAGTGCACTGAATATATAGATCGATCCTAGCAACATTGACTATAAGCTTGAATTATATACATATAGTTGTGCAAGGAAGTTTGAGATCTCTACATGAGTATTAATTGTAGCCAGCTAACGGAGTTCCTTGTACTGCGCGCAATATAGAGTTGTTCGCTTTGACCGGCCCGTGCGGATAGCCTCGGCTCGGGAAACACCATCAGGAAGGAAAGAACGGGCCCGATACGGAATATATATTGTTCGGACAGAAGGCCTTTGTTGTTACGTTTTTATACTACTAAGGTATTCACACTCAGATGTGTTTTTTGAGTAAATAACGGACCTCAACCCAAGTATGTAATTTACACTACCATGGCCGCCTACTCTACTCTAGGTACTCAACGCATAGCTCAACATTCGGTGGTCGATGGCGGGGAAATGATCCGGAATGAATGAGCTGATCATGGCCGGTTTTGTCGGGTATTTGCAGATAGTCTTTTGTTTCAAGTACGTGCGTACCTTGCACACACTGGTCGGTTCTTGTTTCGTCAATGATCATCCGTCTTGTTGAGGCCTGCTTACGACCCACTCCTATATAATACGCTCATTTTGAATTTTTGTTTGGATGTAGGAATATATAGAGCCCAGATATAGTAGTTTGCCCCCCCGCCGGCATCTGTCAGCTGGTCTTGTGACTGGAATTTTTCTGCCAGTATATGATGGCTACTATATCTAGGTAGAGTATAAGGACGTCGATCAAGGAAATCCGCGCACGTATACGTATGCTTTTCTACTTTCTTTATTGCTGCTTCTTTTCTTCCTTTCCCCGAGGTTAAGTGATTTGTCAAAGCGATAGAACAGTCTTAGAAGCAGTCCATATAGGGTGTGCCAAAGTGCAGTATATGTAGTAAACTAATATTGATGAATCCTTAAGGATTAACGTTGGGTCAGTAGCCAGCTAGCACCGACTCGACACCACAGGGCGCGAAGAGGGCCCGGCTAGCTGGTACTCGTGTGATCTGAACTGTCTGTCATTAGAGATGAAACATCGACAGTACAGAATCGCGCTTGCGAGGTATGTGGATAGTAGTTAGACTAGAATTACTCGATGGAAGAACCGCAGGCGTCAAGAGTAAAGGGGCTGATTCCAGTAAGGAGTTGTCACCGAGTACTCTAGAGTAGAGTACAAGCTAGTGCTGCCTGGCCTAGCGCACTGACTGTCAACGGCTGGTAGGCTGCAGCAACGTGGGTTGTTGCCAAGTTAAGCTTGTTTCCGGGAGGGAACGTCCCGAAACCGGGCTAGCATGGTTTGGGAAGCTACTAATTTGTAATATTTCTGGTACGGGACCTTGCTGGTGGCTTGCATGGCGAGCTGTGCAGAGAAGGAAAGCATTTTTTTTTTCTGTTTACTGCTACCTCTGGTACTGATGATGCTCGATATCTAGACTTATGAAATGTGAATAGAAAGTAAGTAGTTAGCTAACTGAATAACCCTGTGAATGGAATGTTCTAATGTCAGTTCTGGTTTCCTGTGTTATCCACAAAGAATCGACAGAGAACAAGCTCCACCGATTGTCCACACATTGACTGGGTTTGACGTGATCGAGTCCTAAGCGAACATTCCCTCAAGGAAAACCAGCTAGCTTGACGGAGTTGGGGGCGACTTTTCGGCTTTTCCCGAAGCGAGTGATTCTCCATGACCTCCCTTCGCCGCTACGCGCGCTGTCGGGTCTAAATGCGAAACTCTAGTCTCTCCCCCAGTCACCCTACCGGAGAAAAAAATAAAACGAAAAACAATTCCCACCAGTTCTCGAAGGTACAGGGCACGGGAAATTGAGAGGCCAAGGACAGCAGCAGGGATACCTGTCAAAATACGTACCCCATGCGTCTTAATTAACCGAAAACATCGTTCCTGGCTCACTGCCTTTACAT